ACTTAACTTCTAGATTTAATAATATTCAAAATGACACTTATTTACCATAACTTGGAGCAAGTCAAGTCAATCCAAAATGGGAAATAATATTTATATAACATTTTTGTTTCATATTTTTATATAACTTGACGTGTTAGTAAAATAATTAATTTTTTTAATTTATGTAAAATTTATATTATTAAATACATCAACTCATTTAATGACATGTGAAAATTATATAAAAAATAAAATATAAAAAATTATCTCAATAACACCACATATCCAAAATAATTGGCGTTGACAGCAGTGGATTCGATAATAATTAATTGGCAAAATCCTCTCTTAAGCCTTCAGGCTCACGCTAAATTGACACGTAAGTCTATCATTTAAAAATGAGGTAATTAAGCCCTCAAATCTCTCAATTAATGCAAATTACCCTCAAACCCTCAAAAAATGCAAATAACCCTTATAATTAACGGTTCAACGCATATAACCTCGCGATTGTTTTTTATTTTCTTTTTCTTGATCCCAGGCAAAAATATCAAAATACCCTTTGAACTTTCTTTTTGAATTTGGCCTTGGGTTTCCTAAGACTATAAATGTTTATTTAGGCTTTCCCTGGAAAAAGTATCTAGAGAAGCCAACCAAAAAGTGGTTGGGTAGGCTTTGAAAAATAAATTTCTTAACATGTAACTTAAGATACAATGTAATTGGTTATGATAGGAAAATAATCAATTATATCACCACTTTCTTAGGAAGGTTATTTTATGAGGATTTTTTCTAGGAAGGTAACACAATCGATTATAAAGAAGAAATAATCATATTTACATAATTACTTACTTCTTTTTCTTTGTAATTGATTATGTTGCAATATAATTAATTATTTTTCTATTATAATCAATTATATTATGCATCAATTTATGTGCCAAGAAATTTATTTCCCTAAGCCAAGCCTAACCACTTTTTGATTGGCTTCCTCAGATTCTTTTTTCGAGGAAGGCCTCAACCAAATAGGCCCTAAACTTGTAAGTTTAAGCCCCTCAACGCCATGGGTTTAAGACTTTAACACCAATTTAATGTTAAAAAATTGTTAGCTCAAACACTCTATGAGGGGGTGAATTGAAGTTTTCAAAATTTTCTTCTTTTCCCAACTATCAAATGAAAAATACTAAGAAAAAAGAGAAGAGGAGCTTAAACGATTAATTTTATAGAGGTTCGACAAACCATTTGGCTTTTACTTCTCTACCTTGGCTTCACTCACCAAGGATTTCCTCCTTATTTTCCATTAATGATCAAGAGTAGCTTAAAAGAGCTACTTAATCTTTTTACAAAGTATTTTTCATTCAAACACTCCCCTTTGCAAGAATCATCAATAAACTTCATTGGATTTGTCTTTTAAAGGCTTCATTTTCCCTTAAGTATCGCTCCTTGAAACTCCACTCATTCTGAAAATCACAAAGAAAGGGTAGTACAAAGGATATGATCTCTCAAAAATCTAATTTGCAAGTGTAAGCTTGAAACTCTTGAAATGATTTGTAAATCTTAGCTTAACTATTGTTTTTGATCTTCAAATGTGTGTCTAAAGGCTCCTTAAGGTGTTTACCAACCATATTTATACTCCCATGGTAAAAAATAGCTGTTAGAGTCCACTTAATGCATTGCAAATTAGTTTAGGTTTGAGAAAATGCACTGCATAATTTATTGTTAAGCTACCTTTACATTTAAAACCAACTCTACTAAGTCAGCTTTCACTTTTAGAGTTGGCTCTACTATTACCTCTCATTTTTTGTTTTTCTTTTAAGCCAGTTTAGGAAATTTGAATTTGAATTTGAATTTTTTTTATCAGCAAAATTGAAAGTTTATTATATGGAGCACAAGGGGTACTCTTGCCCATTTACAAATATTAAGAACCAAGAAAGCTCAATAGTATCAAAACCAGCAAGTATAATTGAAACACATCAAACCACTT